CTCTTGGGACAGATTCTTAAGTTCTATACACAAAGTAATATTTCCAGCAACTTCATATGGACTGAGAAATATCTAGAAGGTCGAAGGGTTTTTATAAAAATATATTTCAAAAATTCTTGACACGCTGTAAGTCGTAGGTCGCAGGGTCGAAGGGTCGAAGGGTTTTTAGTACATTCCTATAGAACATGCTGTAAGCTTTATTTCTTTACATTTTTACGGGCCTATGCCTGGGCTATGACTCCAGGCCTAGACTACTAGATCTATAGGACTTAGACTAGCCTAAAGCTAGAGCCTTAGATCTAGCTCTTTCAGAGGCTGTGACTGATATGTTAGAACAGCCTTTAGAGCCCCCTATCAACCGCTTCAAAATTGTGTTAGTGTCCTCCTTGCGAAAATCGAAAAAAATTAAAAGGTGCTTCTGTGCCGAACAGCAAATTCTCATTATACATTGAGAAGCTACTCTTTACCAAGAAACCAAAAATGGAAGTTTTGACGGAAAGACATGACGTTCAAGTCAAAATCTCTGAATCTTGCTAGGTACATGACAGATAAAGAGAATTTAAATCCTGATCGGCAAAGAAGCGGCTAATAACTTACATATTTTCTCAACAAAAAGCACTGATGTAGCTCACATTGGGAGATAGTAGTAAGCACTTGAAGTTGATTTCAGTAGATCAGTTACACCTGTCATGATTTCAAGGAAAGACACAAAGTATCCGTCAAAAGAGAAAAGCTTACATAAATGCGAGCAAAATCTGCAGATTTATTATAGCTATTGACTTCTCGAATATGTTGAACGCACAACTCTAAACAATACTTGAAATTGAATAAAATTGACAAAATATGAGAAGACAGTCTAAAACCTAACTGGGAGAGCTGCCATTGTTTGCCCGGAAATCTTCAGAGATTTTGACTGGTACTTTGTGTCTTTCCATCAAAATTGCCATTTTGGTTTCTCGCTGGGTAATTCACAGATGAAGAGAAATCTTGATTGACAAAAATACAGCGATAGCTAACAGCTTTTCTTAAACAGAAGATAAAGGAAGATATAAAGGAACCTGTTATGATTTTGAAGCGGGTGATAGCCGATAGGGGGCATGTTAAGGCTGTAAATAGAGGGTGTAGCCGAATAAATCTAACCCAAATAGAGTTTAACACATCTCAGTATAGGCAAAATTAAAATTCATTAACGTTTCATCACTTTAGCGAGTGTACATTTGCTGGCCTTCTAATATTTTGCCAATAGATTTGTTAGGCTTGATTGCAAATTCTTATGAAATATAAGAGTGCATGGTTTCAATGTACTGTACTCCCGATATTTTTCGCGTGTAATTTAGTTTCGTGCTTTTCGCGATTGTGTAAAAATCACGAAAATTAATAGTCGCGAATATCGCCAATTAAAGGCTGAGGTGCAACATGCCATTGACTAAGATCTAGAGATTGTAAATCTTATCCAAAGTATATGATATTGGGTAGGTGTAATTACTGTAGATAAGATAAATTAATTTTGAGGATTCAGAGAATAATGGAAGTTAAACCTTTGATATTCGCAAAATTTAATGGCCGCAAAATTGGTATTTCTCAAAATTCATGAAATTTAAACTCGCAAATTAACCGGTAGTACAGTATTTGCATGTGGAATAATTATGATATTGAGAGCATTGATGAAACAAATGCAATGAACTGATTTGATTGGCCAAGGGAGCATTGGAATTTTGACCTGAAGTTCACATGATTGTTGCTATAGGCCTTATGATTTTTTGGAATTCCAGTAATACTATTAATGTCTATTATACAGGGTGACCCAAAAAAAATGCAACCCTCCATTTCTTCAATATTTTTCTTAAATGGAAGTGAATTGCTCTGAAATTTAGCACACAAGGACTTCATTCAATGTGGGATCCTGTGGCAAAGTTTTAATAATCAGAGTCTTATATTGATAGAGTTATGGTCGTTCCAAAATATGCTCCAAATGTCGTCCATTTCCAATGTTAGGTTTTCGGAAGAATCACATTCCCTTCTTTCTGAACATGTAAACTCAAGAAATAATGTGTTCTGGGATCACAAATTCAAGATGAAGTGCTTCAAAGGCCCCTTCATTCTGTTAAATGCACAGCTTGGGCTGCCAATTTCCAAACATGAAATCATCAGCCCCTTTTGGTTTGAGGTTGATAATGGCAACACTGTTACTGTTAACACACAGCGCAATATTGGCATTCCCAGGAAGTTCTAGGCAGTTCTCGAATGACATACAGGCTTCAATAGACAAGAACAGTGATTCTAGAAGGATGGGGCTACTCCTTACAATTCTTATGATAGCATAGCCTGGCTCACTAGTCATTTCTATGATGAGATTATCTCTCCTAGGATGGAGAACCCATGGTCATCCCACAGTCTTGATCTCAATGCCCCTGACTTCTATATATGGGGTTATTTAAAGGATAATGTGTATGAAAATAACCCTACTGCAATTGCAGAACTCCAACAAGCATTCCTGCAAAAATTTGAGCCATACCCATTGGGAAGAATGCATCCATGTTATGAACAGTTTTCCTTGAACATTGCAAGTTTGTTTTCAGCGAAATTGACGATATATGGAGCATATTTTGAAACAACCATAACTCGATCAATATAAGACTATCGTTATTAAAACTTTGCCAGAGGATCCCACATTGAATGAAGTTCTTGTGTGCCAAATCTCAGAGCAATTTACCTCCATTTAAGAAAAATATTGAAGAAATGGAGGGTTGCATTTTTTTTGGGTCACCCTGTACTTATACAGTAAAACCTGTCTTATCCAAATGCCACCGCTACAAATTAAAAACATTCAGATTTAAACGTCTGATTTCGAGGTTTTTGCATCCGAAAGATTCTTGATTTTGAAAAAATATTAATGCATTTTAACTTAATATTACTAGCATTGTAGGCGTTATGATTTTTTGGAATTCCAGTAATACTATTATACTTATACAGTAATATCTGTCTAATACTTATACAGTAATATCTGTCTAATCCAAATGCCACCATGACCAGTTAAAACACCATGACCAGTTAAAAAAAACATTCGGATGTGGAGGTGATTGCATTCACAAGAGTAGTTGTCAAAAGGAGAGAACTGACCCACCCCTATTACATAACCCTTTGTTTTACTGTATAGTTCTATGAGGCGGTACCTTCTCATCCTATAGAGGTCTATGGGGTGGTGCCTGTATAGCCTATATAACGCTATGGGGTGGTGCTCGCCTGTACAAATCAATGGGGTGGTGCTGAATTAAAGGCCCACTATACTTAATTTAGAATATAAAATGATCATTGAAACATGTTACTCACACACTTGCTCAAATATGACACAAAGTTTTTTTGTTTTTTTATATATTTTTTTATTTCAAAGAATAAGCATGTTAAAGCAACCGCAAAAAACAATACAGTATTGGTTAAGCGTTATTCTTTAAGAAATGTTATAATATTGGCAATCTTTTTTATTTAAAGGAAAAATCATCAGTATCAATTGTTTAATTTTGCTTCCATGATTTTCCACTTATCACCTCTGCCAACCCGTTTATCCATAATACAATATTCCTTCACATTACTTATATAACCTTTAAGTGTTGGTTTTAGCATAGAATGTTTACACAAATAAACATACCTTTTAAAAATACATAGCATATTATTTAGGATGATTGTTTTTTCATTTATACTCTCAGGTCCTATCAATACATTTTGTTTAGTACATATCAATGTGAGCTCTAAAGGGACACAAAGTTTGATTTGCTTTAATATTGAACCAAGAAAAAAATAACTCACATAGGAAAAAGCATTTGAAGTTCAGAGAACATAAGACATGCATGCTAAACAAAGTGCATGTTTTAAATTACTGTTGATTTAAGAAATGGCGACAATTCTATAAAAATAAATGTATCATGTAATACAAACAACTTTGCCATCTTTCAATGACATTGATAAAAACTTGATATCTAAAGCTTGACAGATCGAAAATATTTTTTGATAATTTATTGTAAGCTTTGATGTGATCTGCTTGAGCTGTTGTTGGTGTCAAATGAAAGATAAGGTTCTTATCAATACATTGGACATACTCTGAAATTTAAATGTAAGTCTTTATTTTGCCCAAAAATGTTGAAAGAAAGCCATTTTTCTTTCATGTAATGGCATATTCACTGATTTTTTGAATTTGTAATTCAGTATTTTTTATGAATGCAGGAACATTATTGTGTTTAATATTTGCATTAAATATGATTACATGATTTGATTTCGTTTTTTCAGTGCTCTAATTGTTGTTGTTTTATTGTGTCAACCTAAAAGTTTGAGTGCATTCTATAATAAACTTAACTTACAATAATTAATCGTATTTAGACCTTTAACATACTTTACACAAAGTACAATGTGATAATGGTAACAAAGAAAACTCGACATATAGCAGGTAACACTACCCATTGAGGGAGGGAGTGGGTGTATATGTGCATGTTGCCTTTATTTATATTTTTAATTACCTTTTGACTGAACTCTTTCAAAGGCTGTTTCATTGCTAACAGATCAGTCAGCCTTTGAAACAGCTAATCCTTGACCTTTTAGATCTAGGTAAACTACCTGGCATGAGTACATACGTTCTCTAGGAGTCTATATTCAGATTCAAATAACTAACCTGTGACCTTTTGGCAACCTTGACCTTAAAATGACCTTGACATTGGAGAACTAAACTTCAAAGCTAAATATGTATACTGTACTTATTCTTAATTTGGTACTACTTATTCTGGCGGATTTGCTGTTTTGAACATTTGGCAGCTATTTAATTTGGCGGATTTACAATTTTACAATGTACTAATGGTACTTAATTACATGGTACCAAAATGACTGGGGAATTTGGCGGCTACTTAATTTGGCGGACTTAAACAATTTTGTGGATCCCCTAAATTAAAACAGCTGCCAAATTAAATAGAAGTAAAGTATTACATGTATTAAGCTTTCTACTTGTAGGTACATACCAAGTCTGAGGAATGTTGCCTCCAAATTGCCTATCCCAGCTATAGTGGCTGCCATAAGACTGCAGATACCAACTGGGGAGTACCTGGTGACAGACAGAGAGTATAGTGAATGCGGTGGGTTCATTGTCAAAATACACAAGACACACATCAATGTGCATGAACACACAAACACATGCATGTCCAATTGAACTCCTCTTTTAGATCAAATATATTTCAAGTTGAAGGGCTTGTTACATTATATTATTACTAAGAACCCCTGGAACTATATAACTGCAAAATTTGGGGTATATACGTTGGAAAATAAAAAAGTTATAGTGTCTTGAAAAAAAAGTGGCATTTGTTTTGGCCCACCCTGTATAATATTCAAAATAATAAACTAGATTAATCAACTAACAGGAATGGCTCATGTCTCACATTTAGATAGGATGAGTAGGATGTAAATTGGGCTCATTGTTTGCTCTATTTACACAAAGATTTGCATCATTTTTTCCAACTCTGCCCACCCAAATAATTCATAAAGCGTAAACTGGATTTCACAAGTATGTTAACAAGTAAACTGCATGTGCAAACCACTCTCAAATTCATTCGACCTATGCCCACCTTAAAATATTGTTTCTTACCATAGGAGCCACCTTAATATCTTGAGTGTGATGTCACTTGCAGACCTGAAGAATGCTAGGAATGGGTAACCTGCCTCTCCAATTGTACTAGTTGCTATACCATACAACATGCAGCATATTACAATGCCTGCAAAGGGTAAAAAGGTAACAAGTTTCAACAATAGGAAATATAGGGTGTATCGTAATAGTTAATATTTTCAGATAAAAGTTATAATCATATTGAACATACTTTTCTGTGTTGTAAGAATATCCATCACTCTTTTTGATGGGGCTTTTTGTTTTCTTCCTTGCACATTATTTGTTGCCTTTGAATGATAGCTTTATATTTATTGATGGTATATTGAGGAGTGTGAACATCAAGTTAGTGTTCCTCCTTATCATTCAATTACTATTAATTTGTATCTAAACATTTATTCTTAAATCATCTCTACATGTAGGTTGTTTTCAATCAATCAGCAGATTGTATATTGAATATTTCAACAATATGGTACCCAGCAATGAACTCACCAAGTATATTTGTACTGTCCACTTTGCCAACTGTCTTAGTGAAGACTTCTACAGTAGCATTTGCTGCATCAGACCAGTTCCCTTCTATAGGACTTAATACAGGTTGGTCAGCCTCAATGTATTTGGTTTGGGCCTAATGATTGTAAAGGAAAATATGTCAGTTCACAGAGCATACCTGTTTCAGTGACCAGTGTTAATGCAATCACTTTTGACTTTGAAAATGATGAAATATTAAAAGACTACAACCGCCATGGAAATAAAAAAGTTAAATTGATTAATTATAAGTTAAGTATTTTTAAAATTAAGTATTGGAAGTCTGTTTCAGTCATTTTAGTGTTGATGCAATCACTTTTGACTCTGAAAATGATGAAATATTAAAAGACTACAACCACCATGGAAATAAAAAAAGTTAAATTAATTAGGCCAAATGATAAGTTAAGTATTTTCAAAATTAAGTATTGGAATCTATTTGTAAGTTGTTGATTAGATCACCAGTTCTTTTTTATTACAATATGTAGGCATCACAAATAGAACATGTATTCAAACATTTGCATTTGTGTAATCCACATTTGCCAATAAATACTGCACTGGTTGAGATGTCATATATCTTGACATACAGTAAGCACAATTATTTGGTCATTGGATGATTCACAAAAACGCTAATCCTGTTTTGATAAATTATTAATCTTATCACTTTGGTTAATACCTGATTTATGGAATTTTCATTATGTAATAGTGGACTTTAGAGTTGAACATTTTTATTTGTCAGTTTGGAGAGGATATTTATGTTTTGCTTATCAACATCTGATATGGATTATGAATTGTTAATTCATTGAATGATTTTTATAAACATTTTGATAATATTTATATTTTACCTGTTTAAGTGCTGCTTCTATAATGTTATCCGGAAATAGATTGCTGAAAATGAGATAAACATGCATTATGATCAAAATATAACATTAAATAGTAATATTGGTTTTATTATATTCATTTATGTATTTTCTATTCATTTATATTATCCATGACCCTTATCCCAATATCCAAGTATTAATAGGCATAGCAAATTGCTTTTAGTACAAATATGCATAAAAGGTGCAACTACTATTGTTGTGTATGTTATTATAAATTATGCCATGATTCTGCTTTGCATTATCACAGTTGAGCAAAATTTTGAGATCAGCTCAACGGGCGTACATGTAACATATTTGCAATGTGTGTGTTTATTCATGTGTGTTTTTCCATGAACATAAATGTCTATATATATTTATACAACATGTAAGAATCAAAATGTATTTGACTTGTAAATCTTTTGAAAACAACTTAATTTATTTATAAAGTTTTTCTGTCCCCATAAGATACGGATATCATCTCAAAGACCATTTTTGTTAATGAGGTCGTATGATACTAGCTAAAATGTAAGAGGTCTTTGTTAGTATTTCTATAATATTTGTGAATTCTTAGTTGAACGATGACATCACGATTTCTATGGTAACAACTATTACGAATATTCATTGTTAAAGATGTTATAATATTATTATAATGCTCTTCTTGTTACCAGCTGTTTCATATAACACCATCAGAAAATACATTTTAATCACTACCAAAGCATGGACTTAGGTATTTGTTGCCAACGATCTTTGACATCAAAAGATTGACATTTAAAGATATACGTTGTAAACAATCATATACCCTGCCTTGACTGTATCACTCATCATTCATTAAATTATTCACCTTAAATTCCCTTAAAGAGACCCAACACCTTACAAAACTTCTTAACGGGGAGGAATAAGGGAAAATGCTTGCCGGATTCTGAATCTGTGTATTTTTTAATGATTTTTCACCGTCTTAGAATTTCAATTTTTTTATTTTGAAAAAATGAGATTTGCATTGTTTTCCAATTAGAAAAATGAGTAAACATGAATAGCTCGAAATCTAACGCTGAGATTTTGTTTTAAAAAATCATGGATATCAAGGCTAAATATAGCTATACAATAAACATAAAAAAGCAATGCTTGGACTCTTCATATTTACACAAAAAATTAATTAGTAAATGAGGTTTGATATTTGTGAGAATAAGTTGTACGAGGTGCAATGCTCTACAAACACCAGACTACAGGGTGGATTAGGATCAATGACACACATAAAAATTAATTTAAAAATATTTCATGATAATTATCTCAAACAAAAGCAGTTAGCAAAGGATACATTTCATTACACTCAATAAATAGTTATCACTTTTGACTATATATACATATCTCATGGGAATGTATTTCCATCTCCTCAAGATATCATATTTTAGCTTCGAAAATCACAATCGTTGGATAATACATTTGTCTCAGAATGATAGGCCACGCTGTAGCAATGTAGCTTTCACTTGAAGTGTACCCTTGAGAATAATGAACTTACTTTCAAATTGGTCTTGCTTCTGTGGTGTATGTGGCTTTTTAGCAAATCTGCCACGCTCATTTCTTTCCAGAACCATCTTGTTCACATGTAACACTAGGCTATACGCGCATGTATAGACAGATGACATAGATATACATATAAATTATATATTGCACCTGTATTTACTTACATGGGAATATTCCCTTTGGAAAAATGCAAATGCATGAACATATATTTTCATCTTATATATGACTTCAAGCTAACATATTATTTCATATTTATATTTTCATAGTTAGTCTAACATAAATAATAGATCCATGAAAACAATATTCTTTGTTTTCTTAAATATCGATGGGTTTACTGTGAATTCAATAAATTACAATTTGCAAGGGGTAAGTATACTGTATGACCTTAGTTGCAAAGTACTGTTTATATATGCAGCTCAATAGCATAAAATATGTTGAATGAAGCATATTGTATGGATTAGTCGTGTGACACACAAACTGACCAATACATGAGGGTATTAGCTTATTTTCACAGAAACCAAAGGAGGACAGTGCTTTTATTTCAACTGGGAGCTTACCTCCACACGACTGATCATGTGACCATGGTGGTGGGTCCCTTTAAATCGATTATGCACATTCGGATATATAAAGGTTTTTACACACGCTAGGAAGAGCTTGACTGTGAATGTAAAATAATATGCTTCCTAGGGATTACTCAGTATTTAATTTTCCTCATGGTTTCATACCCAGTCGCGTAAATAAAGGCTCACTAACGGGAAAAATAGTCCCCACGTAGCTACAAACCCAAATCATCACCAGTCCACTCATAATTTTCATTTGACACAAGCTTTCAATGTTTTCCACAATGTAAACGTGAACGTAAAATATTGAAGCGATGCATTTGTATGGGCGATTAGTCATACGTATAGGTTGGCGTTTCGATTTTATATGCAAGCATAAACTCCCTAATATAATATCATCAGGATCAGACGGTGTTACTGTTGTTAGAATGTTGTTATGATGGCCACCTATTCAATACTGTAATCAGTGGCGTAGCCAGGATTTGGTGACCAGGGGTTCTATTTTTATATTATCCACAAATCTCCCCCTACATCGGTGTACCTCACATAAAAGCATTTTTGTATTTGTCATACATACAATTTGCACCCTTCCCTTTGGCAATCGTAACACCCCCATTTTTTTTTAAATCCTCATTCCAAATTCATTCTTTAGGGTTCATTCAAAGATATGTCAAATTCTGAAACATGCAATACTTTAATACTGAGATTAGATGAATTTTTTGAAGATTCCAAATCAAAAGATTTTTATTTCATTTTGTAATAGAAGAGTGCTCGACCTCATTTCTTTTAAATTTCAATGCCTTGCAACAAAAAACACCCAGTGCTGAAAACATCTATTTGTTCTTTCTTTGAATTGAAAATAAAACATAATCTGTACTTAATAACAAATTTTTTACGGTTTGGCGAATGTAAGCAAAGGAGGTTACGTCGCTAAGGCTTTAGAACCACACTATGCCCGGGTATAGATTTGTTACCCCTGGAAAGTAAAATCAATTCCCTAGAGACTAGACCTGTTGTATCACCCTCAGAAATAGCTGTGGAACATTATCTCCATTTCTGTAGGGTAAGGTCACCATTTTTACTGAAATGATCAGTTATATTTCGTGGTAATGTCAACAAGTTCATTACCGCGGATTAGATCATAAACGGACGGTGAAAATGTTTCTATTATCTAATATTTGCTCTTGGGGACTTATCAGCCCCGGGGACTTAGCAAGGATGTTTTGTTTGAAATAAAACAAAACGGAGACGCAAAAATTTGAAAGAAAATGAGCAGCTTTTAATTAAGTTGGAAAATAAATTGTGCGAAATAATTGACATTTCTTTTTTTGCATAATGTCATGATGCTCCGGGGTCTTCCCAAGATTAAACAATCCCACCCCGTGTTTAAGGTTGCCAAACTTGGAGAGAAGTGTAACTTTATTATTTTTTGTCTACTGGTCATATAAATTGAATATATTTTTCTGGTTATTGCAATGAATTTTTCCACAAATATTTTTTTTCGTCCGAACCCATCGAACTCCCGGTCCCTACGGCTATGACTGTTGTTCCTTTTTTAAAGTTGTTTAGACCGGTCCCTACGGCTATGACTGTTGTTCCTTTTTTAAAGTTGTTTAGACTAACATTGAGGGTCTATGTACCCTTTAAACCCTAAAATGTGGGTTTCATCAAGGATTTAGTAAACAAGTTGAAACTGTATACTAAATACATAGGAAAATTCCATAGTATGTGTTTGTAGAAAAGTAAGTTAATGTATGTAGCTTAATTCAATATCGAATGTCTGATCTTGAATGGCAATTCATTTTTTAGAGGATGATGGAGAAAATGTTTAATTTCTGAAGTTGGGTTAAATTGCGGTTATGTGTATTGTGAAAAGAAAGCGTTTCTATTAATTATTCATGGTATTTGTGATCCAATAAATTTTGAGCCAATAAAAAGCGTGCATATTGAGTGCATGGCAAATGGAAAAGTATCACAGGACTCCCTGTCAGTCTCAATGAGCAACAAACAATTTCAACCCATAAAATCAATATTCGATAGAAACAGATTTATTTTTCGACTGCCAAGTGGAACACCTCACAAGTGGAACATCCGCTATTGACTTCATGTTAATTAACCTCTTCATGTAAATTTATTTTTCGACTGCCAAGTGGAACACCTCTAGGTGGAACACCTTTTATTGTTCATTTAACTTGTAAGCACATTTTAATTGAATTTAACGTTCTAATTCAATAATTATATTGTGTTTTTCAACTTACCGGATAAGGTCTGCGAATATATCTTCAGTTGCAAGAGATTCTGATACAGTGCTCTGTACGCTTGCAATACCCGCACTGTTTCCTGAAAGTAAGAATCGTGAAAGGAAATTTAATTCACAATCAACATGTTCAGTCATAAATATTTAAGATTATTCTTACATATACCAAACTAAAGTATATATTAATTCCAGATGTAATTAGCCCTTTCCCTTATTCAATTCATTCCACCAAATGATCAGATTAATAGGCCCAATCATGTAAAACATGACAGTGTTTAGCGCTTAATATTGCCAGAGACAGAACAAATTAAAAAGAGAACAAATCATAAACTTTTCACTAGATACTGCAGCGCTTTTTATATGGTGAGACGTTTTGTGATTGCATCAGCCTAACACGAAGACGCCAACGCAGTTATATGACATATTTTAATTTTCCACTGTTAGATGCAATATTAATACAAACAACGAAGATAGCTCGTACTAAAATATATAAACAGGCTTCAAATGCGGATTCTAGAACGTTTGGGTCAAAACTTAAATATATCTGATGCTGCTTTCCTGTTGTCTTTTTATTTACGGATTTATATTACGACCCAAAAACTACCATGATTTTTAGCTCACATGGTGAGCTTTTGCAATCGCTCACTTGTCCGTCTGTCCGTCCGTCCGTCCGTCCGTCTGTCCGTCTGTCTGTCTGTCCGTCAACAATAGTGGCACGTTTTAAAACCTCTGTCGATAGGATTCCTGTTTTAAGTTATTTCTGTTCAACATCAATACAGAAAACTCCCCTATGACTCCTGGTTCAAAAGCTCATCTATTTTCGAAATGGCCGCCATTTTTGTCTCGCGAAATTCACTTTTGACCCATTTCCTAGCTTTACAAATAATTTCAGGTGTCCTACATTGTAAAAATCCATGTCAATGTAAAGAGTAGATATATGAAATAATTTTGTTACAAAAAATCAGCAAAAAATTATATCCATTTTTTTTATTTTTAGCCGATTTAGTTAACATTGATTTGTCCATCCGACTCGCGAAATCCACTTTTCCGTCAACAACAGTGGCACGTTTTAAAACCTCTGTCGATAGGATTCCTGTTTTAAGTTATTTCTGTTCAGCATCAATACAGAAAACTCCCCTATGACTCCTGGTTCAAAAGCTCGCCTATTTTCAAAATGGCCACCATTTTTGTCTCGCGAAATTCACTTTTGACCTATTTCCTAGCTTTACAAATAATTTCAAGTATCCTACATTGTAAAAATCCATGTCAATGTAAAGAGCAGATGTATGAAATAATTTTGTTACGAAAAATCAGCAAAAAATTATATCCATTTTTTTATTTTCAGCCATTTTAGTTAATATTGATTTGTCCATCAGACTCGCGAAATCCACTTTTCCTTCAACAACAGTGGCACGTTTTAAAACCTCTGTCGATAGGATTCCTGTTTTAAGTTGTTTCTGTTCAGCATCAATACAGAAAACTCCCCTATGACTCCTGGTTCAAAAGCTCGCCTATTTTCAAAATGGCCGCCATTTTTGTCTCGCGAAATTCACTTTTGACCTATTTCCTAGCTTTACAAATAATTTCAAGTATCCTACATTGTAAAAATCCATGTCAATGTAAAGAGCAGATGTATGAAATAATTTTGTTACGGAAAATCAGCAAAAAATTATATCCATTTTTTTATTTTCAGACATTTTAGTTAACATTGATTTGTCCATCTGTCTCGCAAAATCCACTTTTGGACCATTTGCCTTAAACCCTCTGTCGATAGGATTCCTGTTTTAAGTTAATTTTGTTCAACATCAATACAAAAAACTCTCCTATGACTCTTGGTTCAAAAGCTCGCCTATTTTCAAAATGGTCGCCATTCTTGTATCGCGAAATTCACTTTTGGCCCATTTCCTAGCTTTACAAATAATTTCAGCTGTCCTGCATTGTAAAAAGCCATGTCACTGTAAAGAGTAGTTGTATGAAATAATTTTGTTACAAAAAATCAGCAAAATATTATATCCGTTTTTTTATTTTCAGCCATTTTAGTTAACATTGATTTGTCCATCTGTCTCTCAGTCAGTCCAAAATAGTGGCAAGTTTTAAAACCTCTGTCTGTCAACACTTGGCTCTTTTTAAATCCTCTGTAGATATGTTTCCTGATTTAAAATATTTTTGTTCAACATCAATAAAGAAAAGAAAACTGTGACTCCTGCTTCAAAATCTCGCCTATTTTCAAAATGGCCACCATTTTTGTCTCGGGAAATTCACCTTTGGCCCATTTCCTAGCTTTACAAATAAGTTCAGGTGTCCTGCATTGTAAAAAGCCATGTCTTTGTAAAGGGTAGTTGTATGAAATAATTTTGTCACAAAAAATCTGCAAAAAATTATATCCTTTTTTTTATTTTCACTTTTGAGCAACACCATGTGAGCCCAGTACCCACGGTACTAATTTTTAAAGTTGGGACTATTGTGTGATGCTTTAAATGGAACATGAAAATCTCTTCATATTATCATAAACAATTACACTATGGATTTTACTTTTTAAAGCTGCCATTTATTTACCATATTATATAATATAATCATAAATCAGCAACTTATGTCCCATTTTTAGATCACATGGTGAGCTTTTGCAATCACTCACTTGTCCGTCTGTCTGTCCGTCCGTCCGTCCGTCTGTCCGTCTGTCCGTCCGTCAACAATAGTGGCACGTTTTAAAACCTCTGTTGATAGGATTCCTGTTTTAAGTTATTTCTGTTCAACATCAATACAGAAAACCCCCCTATGACTCCTGGTTCAAAAGCTCGCCTATTTTCAAAATGGCCGTCACTTTTGTCTCGCGAAATTCACTTTTAGCCCATTTCCTAGCTAACCTCTGTCGATAGGATTCCTGTTTTAAGTTATTTCTGTTCAACATCAATACAGAAAACCCCCCTATGACTCCTGGTTCAAAAGCTCGCCTATTTTCAAAATGGCCGTCACTTTTGTCTCGCGAAATTCACTTTTGGCCCATTTCCTAGCTTTACAAATAATTTCAGGTGTCCTACATTGTAAAAATCCATGTCAATGTAAAGATTAGATATATGAAATAATTTTGTTACAAAAAATCAGCGAAAAATTGTATCCATTTTTTTTATTTTCAGCCATTTTAGTTAACATTGATTTGTCTATCTGACTCGGGAAATCCACTTTCTGTCAATAACAGTGGCACGTTTTAAAACCTCTGTCGATAGGATTCCTGTTTTAAGTTATTTCTGTTCAACATGAATTCAGAAAACTCCCCTATGACTCCTAGTTCAAAAGCTCGCCTATTTTCAAAATGGCCGCCATTTTTGTCTCGCGAAATTCATTTTTGACTCATTTACTAGCTTTACAAATAATTTCAAGTGTCCTACATTGTAGAAATCCATTGCAAAGTAAAGAGTAGATGTATGAAATAATTTTGTTATGAAAAATCAGCGAAAAATTATATCCATTTATTTATTTTCAGCCATTTTAGTTAACATTGATTTGTCCATCTGTCTCGCAAAATTCACTTTTGGACCATTTACCTTAAACCCTCTGTCGATAGGATTCCCATTTTAAGTTAATTTTGTTCAACATCAATACAAAAAACTCTCCTATGACTCTTGGTTCAAAAGCTCGGCTATTTTCAAAATGGCTGTCACCTTTGTCACGCGAAATTCACTTTTGACCCATTTCCTAGCTTTACAAATAATTTCAGGTGTCCTACATTGTAAAAATCCATGTCAATGTAAAGGGTAAATATATGAAATAATTTTGTTACAAAAAATCGGCGAAAAATTGTATCCTGTTTTTTTATTTTCAGCCATTTTAGTTAACATTGATTTGTCTATCTGACTCGCGAAATCCACTTTCTGTGGCACGTTTTAAAACCTCTTTCGATAGGATTCCTGTTTTAAGTTATTTCTGTTCAACATCAATTCAGAAAACTCCCCTATGACTCCTGGTTCAAAAGCTCGCCTATTTTCAAAATGGCCGCCATTTTTGTCTCGCGAAATTCACTTTTGACCCATTTCCTAGCTTTTCAAATAATTTCAAGTGTCCTACATTGTAAAAGTCCATGTCAATGTAAAGAGTAGATGTATGAAATAATTTTGTTACAAAAAATCAGCGAAAAATTATATCCATTTATTTATTTTCAGCCATTTTAGTTAACATTGATTTGTCCATCTGTCTCGCAAAATCCACTTTTGGACCATTTACCTTAAACCCTCTGTCGATAGGATTCCCATTTTAAGTTAATTTTGTTCAACATCAATACAAAAAACTCTCCTATGACTCTTGGTTCAAAAGCTCGCCTATTTTCAAAATGGTTGCCATTCTTGTTTCGCGAAATTCACTTTTTGCCCATTTCCTAGCTTTACAAATAATTTCAGCTGTCCTGCATTGTAAAAAGCCATGTCACTGTAAAAGGTAGTTGTATGAAATAATTTTGTTACAAAAAATCGGCAAAATATTATATCCGTTTTTTTTTATTTTCAGCCATTTTAGTTAACATTGATTTGTCCATCTGTCTCGCGAAATCCTCTTTTGGACCATTTGCTTAAAACCTCTGTCGATAGGATTCCAGTTTCAAGTTATTTTTATTCAACATCAATACAAAAAACTCCCCTATGACTCCTGGTTCAAAAGCTTGCCTGATTTCAAAATGGTCGCCCTTTTTGTCTCGCGAAATTCAATTTTGGCCCATTTCCTAGCTTTACAAATAATTTCAGGTGTCTTGCATTGCAAAAAGCCATGTCACTGTAAAGAGTGGTTGTATGAAATAATTTTGATACAAATTATTGGCAAAAAATTATATCCGTTTTTTTTTCAGCCATTTTAATTGACTGAGAGACAGATAGCTTGAAATAATTTTGTAACAAAAATCAGCAAAAAAATATATCCGTTTTTTTTCTGTCACCATGTGAGCCCAGTACCCACGGTACTAATTTTATACGTATTTTTTCCATATTCTATGAAAGTTCAATGAAAAACATTGAAAAATAAAGATTGGGAGCTTTTTTATAAAATATAATAATAGCATATTCGTCATGCAATATTCATCCATTGTCTCATGCTTATCAAATGACTATGGCTGCATTATCTGCATTCATTACTAATTATTTATATTTCAACGGTATTCATGAAAACAACAAGATGAAAATTCTTATCATATGATTTGCATAAAGAATCGAAATTTTATCAAAATTAATAAATATTAATATCTACCTGGTTTAATGCTGACTGTGAGCCCGATGCCAATGATGCAGGCGATTACGTTCGTGACATTAACATACGCCAGAGCGATGCCGCTGATCCTACCGTTGGACTTCGGGTCCATAGAGGCAGTCCCTGCGATCACACTGCTGATAATCAGCGGGAGAATCATCATCTTAAGCATTCTCAGAAACATTTCTCCTGGAAGACCTGAAATATAAATGAAATGGTCACGCTTAGAGCTTTTTCTGGTTTCATGATTTGTTGATTTTCTTGATAGACTATAGTATGTCGTATATTTTAATGTCGTAGTTTCAAATTCGAAATAGTTATTTTACCGTAAATTAAATCTTAAGTTAGAGCTCATGGATGTGGAAGTGGGAAATTTTTAACCGGTTTTGTATATTTCTTAGTCTTAGGATTTGCAGAGGGTTTCAAGACAACTCATCCCTAGACAATTCTTCCCAAAGACAGCTCATTCAAGTTGTGAACAAGGGTTTGTCAAATGTTTGAGTCATCAAGCCGACCTTTTCAAAAATTCTTTGCAATTGTACACGCTATTGTTTTTCAAGTTGGGATGAGTTGTCTTGGGATGAGATATCGTTGGGATGAGTTGCCCTGATACTTAAAAGACATCGTCATATATATTATAGCTAAAACGCCAATCATACCCACCTATCCACATTATGGCATCTTTGGTTGGGTTTAGCCATCTGATTCCAAATCCTGCAGCAAACCCAATAACAATAGACAACATGGTCAAGACGAGGAGCATGTTATTCTTGAGGTGGTATCTGATCTTCTCGGAGGTAGTATAGGAGTCCGTACTGAACTCAGTAGAGCTCTCAGACTCCATAGTTATCGTTGTATCGACCGTCATGAAACTCGCCTCGCTCACGTTGGGCTTTAGTGGTTTTAACTCTGACTTCATCTTGCTTTATTGCGTTCTGCTCGCTTTATACAATTGTGAACCAACAATGTGTTTGACTTCTGAAAATCAACGTTGCGGTTGTTTGAGAGGCCAATATGTTCATCCACTTGGCATATTTATTTACGAACTTATAGCTACTGATACAACCTTTAAAAGTCAAACAAGTGTATGTGTATTTAACATAATAATAAAGAATTTGCAATATTACATAGAAATTGGCTAAAAATAGAATATGAAATCCTTGAATATAGCCACGCTTTTTTTTGTTGGGAACGTTGTTCTTGAACTTATACCTGGAATTCTCCACTCTGTGTAAAGTCAAACTGAGTATACATTTTTATATTTTAATCAAACAGTAAGTGCACGCGGATTACGGAGCAACATAATAATCAAGATTTTGCATGCATTACAAGTTGGCTACTTTATATATGAAATATAATCGTTCTTTAACATCTGATTATTGGAGTTGTCTGGATAGGCATAGACCCATTTATTGTTGAGGTAATATGGTAATAGCCAGGGGGAATGGCCTTGTTTGTTAAATATTAATAACGTATTGTTAGATGATCCTGGTACTGATTTGTCGGATATTGTTTTAACAATATGTTATCTTACTTGAAATTTACAATGCAATTTAAAGTAAATCAATTACTCAAAGTTATTTCGAAGGGAGTGAAGACACTAGGCTTTAAGATATTCACTCCAAGTCATAATAGTTCTAATCATATTTTCTTTGAAACTGAATGTCAAGAATCATAGTAATTGAAGGACGAGGTTACATTTTCATGTTAAGGTCAATGTTACATTTGTATGTTAAGGTCAAGGTTGCATTTCCATGTCAGGGTCTATGTTACAAATGCGTCTTAAGCTCAAGGTTACATTTCCATGTCAAGGTCAATGCTGCATTTCAATGTCCAGGTTTTATCTCCATGTAAAGGTAAATGTTTAATTACCATATACAGGTCAAGGTTTTATTTTTATCTCAAGGTCAAGGTCATAACTCCTTGTCGATGTCAAGCTAAACTCAATGTTACATTTCCATATCATGGTCAATGTTACATTTCCATGCATGCCAAAGGTTAAGGTAACATTTTCATGTCAAGGTCAATTATAGATATAAACTTCTTGATGCTTTTGTTTTGTTAAAATATATTATTACTTTCTTCAATTTGTAATTTTTTATAAATGATTCAAATAAATATATTCCTTTCTCAACGTTAATATGGTTTAAACTTTTACATTTCTATTTTTGTAAACAGTGAACAGATGCGAATATAGTAAAACCTGTGTACGTTGAACATTTTTTTGCCGAAAAAAAAGTCCAGTGTTGGTAGGTTTTCACTGTACAGAGAGGGTATTTTATACTAAAAGTCAGTAGAGTATGTGGCGGGAAAGGTTGTCAAGTAGAAACAGTTGTTCATTAGAGAGGTGTTCACGAAGACAGGTTTTACTGTACATTAATCATTTAGCGTATCAAGAGACAGTTATCAACTTCGTTGACAGAAATCGTAAAAGGAACTATCCACTTGCATTAAATCATATTTTATTGTTGTTCAGAATAAGTAATTTAGTTATTTAAGTTATTAAAGGAACATGTAAAACAGGGTAGATGTAGAATGATTGTCTGTAGTCTACAAAGAGAATGCATGTACGAGTAGGCTTGTGCAAAATGGTTCAGTAGTTCAATATTTTGAACAAATTCCTGTTTTGACATAATAGACTGTGGACTATTCTGTAGAAGTGCTCTAGAAATGGATCCTGCTTTTCATGGAAGGTCACACATTCCAACATATTTCAAACAATTTGTATGATTATAATAGACACTTTCTGGGTAGTTGGACTTTATGTTGGGGTGGCAGAAGGCCCTCAGGCCAATTTATACCCCTACCCCAACAAAACCTTGGGGGTACTTTAATACCACCCAATAAAAATAATACTAATGCATATCAGATATTCATCGTTTTATAGTGGGTAGGGCATGCCATGGTTAGTCAGTGCCAGAAATTTCCAATCTCTGACTTATATGGTTACCATGGAAACAGTATTTATATCTCACAATCTTCTCAATTTGACCCCGTCCCAAATGTGTCCTTAAATGAGTACCGTAATCCAACACCAAATTCGAAAATTCATAACAATACTTTGCACATATGGCGTTCGTGACCAACTATAAAATGCTTACCCCCCATAGTGTTATATATCAAAATGTACCTGTTCATATAGGGGTTCGATTGATCTACATCAAATTATGGGGAGTCAGGTTACTTTTTGAGATATCAGCGTCCATTTATTGTGACTCGCGTTTGCTACCACTTCCTCAATTCTGATATGATGCGCAAACGCGTAGTAAACATGCTCACGTCGGAACTATTTTTGACCTACATCGCTATTTTCGTAATTCAAATGAACGTTGAACTCCTCCTCTTTATTTTGATACCAAATAGTGGCATACTAGGTACCCTAGAAGCCAACTATGGCGTTATTTAGAACAATACCACGAGTTTTTAAATGGACTATATAGGGGTCATACCTTTTGGCGGATGGATATGGAACCTCATACCTTAATGTGTTATAACATCACACTGATTTTTGTCTCTGCAACTTTTTTTGGCAGAAAATATCATTTCTAGTTCAAAAATGCATAAAAACGTCGGAACTGGCTGAATATGTGAAAAATTTATCTATTTAGGCTAGAAAGGGTTAATTTGCCCTACCCCAAATACGTCTAAATATGCTAGTCTAACTTTGCCACTGTGACGTCACAAATCTAACCTGACTATCTCTGAGTTTATTGAAGAAAATGATACGTCTGACAAACAGCTTTCATTCCCTATATGGCACACCTTCTACTAAGAGTTGCATCATTGACTAAATCTAAGACAAAGGCCCTGTGTCCCGAGGATTTTGACTGAAATTTGGCCATTTTCGCCCAAATCTAACTAAATTGCAGTTTCCCTCACACCTGTATTTTGAAATAAATATTGCTACAATGTAGCAATTTAAAAATCACACATGCTTACTGTTTCTGTCGACCTGACACGTGTATCTAGCCTGTAAAAATGAAAAATCGCTACATTGTAGCAATTTCACTGAGATATGGGCCCTGAAAATCATGTAATTTTAGCAAAAAAAGAAGAAATAACCTGCAATTTTGACGGAATTTCAGAGGGCTTTCTTTCATTCCAGACCCTCCACGGGCCTCTTATGACCATTCTTATACTCACAGAATGGTTGAAAGTGATTTCAAATCATTGTTTGCCCTACGCAGAACGAAAAAATCGATTCTGTTCTCAAATTCTGCTAGAATATTGGTCTCTGGCCAACTAGCAGACAATTTTAGGCCTCATATTAAGGTATGAGTACCGTAATCCAACACCAAATTCGAAAATTCATAACAATACTTTGCACATATGGCGTTCGTGACCAACTATAAAATGCTTACCCCCCATAGTGTTATATATCAAAATGTACCTGTTCATATAGGGGTTCGATTGATCTACATCAAATTATGGGGAGTCAGGTTACTTTTTGAGATATCAGCGTCCATTTATTGTGACTCGCGTTTGCTACCACTTCCTCAATTCTGATATGATGGGCAAACGCGTAGTAAACATGCTCACGTCGGAACTATTTTTGACCTACATCGCTATTTTCGTAATTCAAATGAACGTTGAACTCCTCCTCTTTATTTTGATACCAAATAGTGGCATACTAGGTACCCTAGAAGCCAACTATGGCGTTATTTAGAACAATACCACGAGTTTTTAAATGGACTATATAGGGGTCATACCTTTTGGCGGATGGATATGGAACCTCATACCTTAAAGTGAAATATTTGCAAATCTGTTTAGATTTTGTGGCTGCAACTTTGTCAAAAGTTGAATTAATATGTATGTATTCACACTAAAGCACTAAAAACTTGATATAATGATCTCATAAATCAATAATATTTATCAAATGTAGTCACACACAACTGCTTTTAGGGAAAAGTGGGCGTGGCACTTTTTGGTACTTGTGTAATTGTTGCAGCATTAAATGAAAAATACTTATTACACTAACAACAATTGACATTTAATTAGCATCTACTAACATTGTGTAACATTGTAGTATGTTCATTATCATTATTAGATACTTTAAATATTTTTTGAACCTAGAATATAAATAGTTTCATTGATCAAGAGCTATGAGTTAAAATTGATTAATACATTTGTCAGGGTTAGAGCCATTTTATGCAATTGAAAAGTAATGGACCGACACTGATCAGTACCAAGCGAAGGTAACGGCCGTAACCTTCGCATCTAAGATAGCGGACAGTAATTGTCGATTTTGATATTTTTAATTTTCATTGAATTAAACTACTTCAGAGTTGATGTTATGCTTTGACATTTGCACCAAATCAGGCTTAAATGACATTGGAACCATAGATGTAGTAAACATGAATAAATGATATGTGAAATGTTATGCCCTGCCTTAATACATAACTAAGATTTTCTCGGATAAATGGTGTCTTACAATTGACTAACTGATTCTATTATCAACATCAGGTAATGCATGATCTATCCAATGGATTAACGAAAATACTTGATTCCAATATGGCAAAATAAATTATTCCATGTATGAATTGCATAGTGCATCATTTTGCAGATATTACATAATGCATTCATTGACTCATGGTCAACAAGGTACGGGTAAAACTCCTTTTAGTATTTCACAAAATAATGAAATATAAACAATTTACACATTTCTGAAATGCTGTACCTTTAGTGATTCCTTCAACCTGGAAAGTGGTTTGTTATGTTAAAACTTAAAATAATATCTAAACAAATCTGTTTAGTGTATGAAAACAATAAAAGTTAATATATTTAATATCAAATATTATTAGACATATGAATATAACCTAAAATAAGAAATCTTGTTCTCGTATTCCATTTTAAAATTGGTTGAATGATTTTGGCACAGTAGAAATGATGGTCATGATTAAATATTATATGTAATATGCCCTGATGCTGTAACAGCAATGGTCCTTTATAATCAGGTATGACTGAAATACTGGACAAGATCTTATAAGGTTACAGTTTCCATATAACGTATGTTCCATATTACTACCCCACATCTCCATTGTGTAAGTTTATGAGTCATTATCCCTCATAGTTTATTATGGCAAATGCCTATCCTTGTCTAGAATATGTCATTTTATCAATTTCATAAACAAGTATACAATTACACGCCCCCCCCCCTCCCACACCAAAACTCCATTTTCTTTATCAAATCTTTCTACTTCTATCTGTTATGATTCTCTGTCAGGCTTCCCCAATTTTCCATACTGTCAAGTAAACATCTAAATAGGATAGTTCTAGCCATTGCTGTTGTTTTGAAATGTTGACTTTTCTTGGGGAAATATTGTTTCATTTCTGACAGAAGTTTTTAGCCAATATCATTCAATTTATCAATATCCAAACGCAGGGTTTCAGAAAGTATGCATTTTGTTTGTGCCTGTATTTTCATCATGTGTACTTATTAAGACAGCTATATCTAAACGTAAATACATTAAAACATGATACATATAATCTTTTGACAATTTCTTCAGTAAAGTGGCCATTTTGAGAAATGATATATAGCTTGCACCTTTGTTTGATGCTCAACAAGATGTTCGACTGGATTTGCCTTTTTCTAATTCATATATATACCAAATACGAGAATCAGAATCTTATTCTACAAAACGGGTGTTCATGGAAGTAGCACTAATTATTGCATCATTGCTATAAATCGTGTGATTTGATTGGCTAATTCAGAACCATGTGACTAAAAATACCAGCGTATTTCACAGCTCCCTGAATTATTTTCATATTTAAAAGACGTATTGTCCAGCGTATTACCCGCCTGGGGATTCTGACAACTGCACTTTCAATGATTTTTGCAACATGCATACCATCGCCCTACGGGCTGCGGGCAATACATATTGCAAAAATCATTGAAAGATGAACAGGTATTGCCCTCCATAGAATGAAATATTTGCTTTACATTTCTTACTGTTTCGGGCTTAATATCAATTTTGTTATAAACTGAACAAAGCGGCACCTTTAACATGCAGCTAATTCTCCCATCTAACCAAGAGAGCCTCTTTTAATATATCGAAATTTAAAAATTGCCTCTGATTCAATTTGTTCAATCAAATCTAAAATGGTAATACCTTTTTACTGCTTCGAACTTCCTTATATTTTATACCATTGGGGTAGGATGTTTGTCTCTTTCAATTAATGCTTTCACCAGAAACATGGATATCACTAATTTTGATTCATATTTAAAATGGTGTGCATGAATAGACCTGTGTATTTTATACCAAATAGAGACACTTCCCTGGAGAGTTCTAAATCTCTATATGTTAACAGCCTAGTTCCCACATCCCTTGTTGACTTTGCTTCCATATTTCCTGTGAAGCCGTGGAACAGTTCTCTTGTTCTTCACAATTTTCCATTTTAATGTAACTCAATGAATAAGGCCAATTCATATCACTGGCTTCCCTAGGTCATTTGAATTCCTTGCAATTTTTAAATCAGCAATAAAGAATAATGGGTTAAATTATCAAATAATGAAAAAGTTGCAAATTATGAGATTTGCTATATAGCTTCGAAATCGTGCTGAAGTGTAGTTTAACTATAGGTTAACAGGCTAAATTCTCATTGAGATAATTTTGAAGAATCTTAAACATTGACTTATTGTTTCAGTGGTCCTATTAAAGTTCATGTGTACACAATCTGAACAACATCCAGTTTCAAACACTTCTGATTATCATCAAGTTTCAAACACAATCTGAACATCATCAAATTCAATGCAAATGCAGTTTTACTTTAATCCAACAGAACGAATATGGTAAATCAATAGACTAAGTGACACATGTCAAGTCAATGGTAAATACTTGTATCTAGCCCAACTAGCACAAGTGCTGCCATCTACCGACTAGTATCAATCCATCTATCCATATACATAGCACCTAATGAGGTCACGACTTCAAGTAAAGCTTTTTCCCTTGTCTATGGTAAAAAATAAGTTAAACAGAAAAGTTAGTTTGACACCATTGGTGATGCCCACCTTGTATGGTATAGGGATAAAAGGAAAGTTTATGATAACACTTACATAAAATAATTTAAGTATCTAATAATGATAATGAACATATTACAATGTTACACAATGTTAGTAAATGATAATTAAATGTCAATTATTGTTAGTGTAATATGTATTTTTCGCTTAATGCTGCAACAATTACACAAGTTCCAAAAAGTGCCACGCCCACTTTTCCCTAAAAGTAGTTGTGTGTGACTATATTTGATAGATATTATTGATTTATTGGAGCATTATATCAACTTTTTAGTGCTTTAGTGTGAATATATACATATTTATACAACTTTTGACAAAGTTGCAGCCACAAAATCCAAACAAATTTGCAAATATTTCACTTTGAGGGCTAAGGGACATATTTTGGAGGAGGTCAAATTGAGAAGATTTTGAGATATAAATACTGTTTCCATGGTAACCATATAAGTTAGAGATTGGACATTTCTGGCACTGACTGACCATGGTATGCTCTGCCTACTATAAAACTATGAATATATGACATGCATTAGTATTCTTTTTATCAGGTGGTATTAAAGTACCCCCAAGGTTTTCTTAGGGTGGGGGTATGAATTGGCATGAGGGCCGTCTGCCACCCCTACATGAAGTCCAACTACCCAGAAAGTGCCTAGCATAATCATACAGACTGTTTGAAATATGTTGGAATGTGTGACCTTCCATGAAAAATGGAAGTTGCAATTATCAGAGTAGTCCACAGTCTATAACGACATATTTAAATAAGGTCTATTTGGCATGAATTGAAAATGCTCAGTAAGGTTATACAGACGCACGATATATTTAAACGGAAAACTATAATTCAATAAAACAATAAAACATGACAAATATTTTTTCAAAAGTTGCCACTATGTTATTGTCCATGGTTAGACGATCATTTGCTTTTCCTAGGGAATCCATGAATAAGTTAAAACATTACCATGGAAATATTAATCTTAAAGAATACAGACATCATTATTCCTTTTCATATACTTTCAAAATTGACTTTTTAAATAAAAAGAACACATGATAAATGGTTCAGATTCCACAGAAACTGGTTATTCCAAGAGTTTGACCATAGTAAGTGTTAACCCTTCTGAGTCTCAAGTACTTACCTTATGTGATCTCTATATATGTCCTTATACGAGAGAGAGAAAGAATCCTGTCAATCCCGCGTGTGTTTTTACAATGGGCGCAGGAGATGAAAGTGAAAAACATAAACAGATCGATCAATAAAAATATGTACTGCTGTAGTATTAAAGACTGATGCAATCCCTTTTAGCCAATCCGCTCTGTGGTTACTGTTAGCTACGTCACTTCATTCATAAAAATCAAGGCTCCTTGTACACGAGACTCAATATAAACGGTGATAACAAACATGATGCAGCAGTTTTTATATTGGATGTTTATGGCACTTGACGTTTAGCTCATTCACGAATCTAAGTGTAGAATTTTCCTTTGGGCCTAAAAGTCACAATGACTTGCACATAATTGATGGATTTCTGGAATAGGATGTCTATCATAGTAGTATTGCATCATACTACCGTTTAGACCCCTTAGTTAGTTTGAGCCAGACCATTATATGATTAATTAGAGGTCATGTACTAGATAACATGGGTCAAACCACAGGTGGCGAAATTCCAGTTTTTTCATGATCCCAGATATCCATAGAGGGAGTTTGACAGTTTGTTGCTAATAATTGACTAAAAGTGTAACGATAATTAACGATTGACGACTAGGGGCGGGTGGGGGGAGCGTAGCAAGTCTATCGACCGAGTGTTAGTATCATCATGACCTGATGCTTTTAGTTCCGATGTCAGTGGTATCATAATGTGCAATGATGAAACCTATATTCAATATTGACTTAACAATATGCATTAACTGAACTAGGGGATGTGAATATTCAACATTTTTGGTCACTAAATAATCTGCGATATCTGGTTATCATTAAACGGGGAGTTATAATTTTCAATGCAACGTTTTCTCTTGTCACTTCACAGGTCTGGCGATACATGAACATCTCATTTACGAATCGTGCCAGATCAGTTTTTGTTTATGTTTTGCACACATGCGTGTATACATGCTCCGCGAAGCGTATTTACTTCAGTTTGATTGGCTACTATTTATACTCAATCGTAGTATCAGTATGACCTCAGATAATTTTCGAGTTACAGACTAAAATTGAAAATCAGATTTCAATATAAGTATACAATTACTTACTTTGGCTATATCAGGATTGACTATACTGACTACACTGGCGGATCTGGGGGGGGGGGGGGGGGGGGGGGGGGCAGGGGCCCCCTTGGGTGGTCCCAGAAAAAAATTGGGCCCAAACATTTTTTTTGAGCCAAAAAAGGCCTTGAGGCTCCAGAAAGTGGGCCTTTTTGGTCATAAATGGGCCTTCTAAGGCCTTATTTTTATATTTAGATCAATTTTGGAGAAAATGGGCCCACTTTTTGGTTTTAGGGGCCCAAAATGTTTTCCCGCTGAAGTTTTTTTTCAGACCAGAAGTTTTAGCCCCCCCCTTGTTGGTTCCCAGATCCGCTCCTGAAATACACTTAGAAATAGTATAGTATGGGTATGATATGGATGGACTCACCGCCCTCCTAAAGCTTATGAACTTCGCTTTTTTTCGCGAATGCAACTAACGGCTAGCGGCAACCGGATTTACCCGCTACTTTATGACTATTATTTTATAGCATAGTGACAGGTATTATTCATAGTGTTTCCTGTATAGTATGTTAACCCGGTAGCTGCTAGCCGTTAGTTGCATTCGCAAATTTATAAAGTTTAATTTGGCCTCTAAATCCACCCCCGGAATGGAATTACCCAATTTGTGTGCCAAAATGGCCTCGATTGAATTGCCTACATATACGTTTTAAAAATATCACCAATGTGCATTTTTTTCAAATACTAGCACATATAAGCAAAGGCCAATGTTATGAACACCAAGCTCTAACAGCCTGCCAATATTTGGAAATTAAGGCCAATTATGTAATATAAAACGATGAAAAATGTATAAGGATATTACTTACTTATAAACGCTGTAACTGGTCGACTATAAATGGGGCCGGGGATGATCGAGGAGAAAATGACATCGTCCTTTAATAGAGGTGACTTTGCACTGAAAAAATGATATCAAATGAAGATGAACTCTGGTTGAACCTTCGGAATCTGATTAGAAGAAACGGCATTTTTTAAATCAAAACCTGCTACTGAAACGTGACATGGTGGAGCTGCCTGTCAAAATATCTTGTGCATGGGCTGGGCTCAGTCTAGTTATTTGATAGATCGTTAACAATCTGTTCCAAACCAAACTATTTGTCTTGTTGAGAATTGTGATTTCTATTGAGATGATGCAAGTCAAAAACTACAGTCTATGTGTCGTTGTATTTCATGTTATCATTTAGTTGAAAACCAGTATTCAATTTGTATATGCAATTTAATATGGGTATCACATTGAGCATTAAAGACATTAAATACAAGATCCACATACTGTGACTTTCAAATAAACAATAAAATCCTTTTTTTTAAATTGTAGACTGGGATGTCGACTAACTCTTGCGGATTCAATCATATGTTTAGAGTGCCATCTTTTAAATGAAGCTAAATGAAAAACAGCTGTGATCATTATCTAAAGGGTACCATTTTATCTAAAGGGTACCAATTTATCTACAGGGTACCAATTGTACCTTGTTTGAACAACAAATGAAGACAAGGATTTGGTGAAAGGTCTATAAGGTGAGGTTTCCTAGCATTATAGTAAATCATTGGTTGTTGTTACATGTACACAGTACAGCACATCGTCAAATAAGCATAGTAACCGTTTTTAGGTATTTCTCTCTGCTGTTATTTTCTGTTAGTTTCGAGATATTCGTTCACCGAAACATATTAATGAATAAAAAGGACATTTTATAGATGTCGTTTAAAGGACAATTCTAACTTTAGTTACAACGATTCTAAAAGTTTTAGTCTAGTATATTGCCAGCTGTAAATCCCAAATGGATTTAATTCGAAATGATCAAAAGAACGATTTGTGAGCAGGATTTACAAAATATGCACTCCCTAAAGGATTTAGGTATTCTGGAGGCTTCGGAGCAATAATTAATGATAAACTAAAAGATAAAAAGAAAACTGGTTGTTCATGGAGATCAAACGCGATGAGAACAATTGATGGCTGTCGGAATCAAAAAGATGTAAGGGACCACCCTGTGAATATAAGTTTCTTATAATAGACGCAGATGAATAATACTAAAACATAATTTGGAATTTAATATTATTGAGTAATAAGTCAATAGTTCGTTTGTGTCATGATCGATGTCCGATTCAATCGATGTTCGTTGTTGAATGCTTTACAATGATTATGTTACAATTTACCCGTACCCGGGTACAATTTACCCGTTCTAATGATTATGTTTTGGATATAGTACATTAATCATTCACTTAAATGTCACGCGTTACCATTAAACTGATTCTTTTAGTTTGAGACTCTGAACTGATTGAAATGCACAAACCTGATAACATGCTCTTATAAATTATATAAGTTCGCAAAACAATTGAAAATACGTTACATTTTTGAATCTGAAACATAACGACGCCCCGCTTTTATATTGTAATCAGTCCTTTTCCGCAAGCTGTGTTTATCATGTCATAATAGCACTGTTCCGTATGTACTTTTATTACCATTTGTATATGTCATGACACTTTTGATCAAAGAATGTGCCAAAAGTACATTTATAGACAATGAAATGCGCTATTAGTGAATAGTACAATCGAAATTATCGCTATTTTTAATCGATCCATATATTTTCATAAAATAAAAGATTATTTTTAATCCTATTATAATGAATTTTACTGTATAAGAGGAGATATACACCATTTGGATATATTTGTTTTATATTTGTGATTATTTCCTTAAGATTTTTGAGATGTATAAAAAAGCGACACTGTGCTATTTACCTGTCATATGTCTCATTGGATCCACGATAACCGGAGCAGCAGAAAATGGTAAGCACATTATAACAGGTTTAGAAGATTTTACACCTCGATAGATAGGTTATACAGTCAAGCCAAGTAACTAAGTCAACATTCGAAAATAAAAATCTCAAAAATCGTACATCTTTGATTTCCAAAATAATTTGTGAGGTGGTTATTAAGATGATAATACATCTTTTAACGTATTAATTTTGAGTACATCTTGAATCCATTCTCAACAAAGCGTTGTCGAAATAAGGATTCGAAATATTTGAGTTCGGGATGATAAAAGTACGTTAAGATATACCACTCCTTAACAAACTCCTTTGGGAACAAGATATAGAATCAAATGCATATTCTTCTTATTTACTCCCTGACACATGCCAACGAATGTTACATAAGTTAATATCTCCGTTTTAAATAATTTTGTAAACGTTGTTCTCTACAGGTGCCATTTTTTATAATTGAAAAACAAAATTGAACATTTTGCATTTCTAAATTGATAAGTTTCTTGGAATACAACATAACTGTTAACGATTTAAGCCATTACTGATATTTCCCTTAGTGATCCCATGCTAAATAGACAGTAACTAGGTTATTATTTTGTGTTCAACCTTGTTTTCATGACTTTTAAACATGAGTCGACAATTATGTAGGAAATTTCAATTCCAAATGTAAGCGTGTCACCTCCTGTTTTTGCACAAAATGTAGCCTTTTCTTATGATAGATCGCCAAAATCTGCATGTACCTCTCAATGAGGCGACACGTTTTTAAATTTATAGATGCTGAGCTATAAACTCAAACAAAAATTCAAACCACCCGCTATTATTTTGATTACACTAGACGAAATTTCAACTCCAGGGGAGCACTGTGGTAACACTTTGAAGGAGGATTCTTGAAAAATCGTTCGAATTTTCACAAAAGGTTTCACGCAATTTTATTGCTTTGTTTCAGCCTCAACTAAAATCATACTCAAATCCGATACCATAATTATAAGTTTAAGTTTATTCCAATTTTTTAACATGTTACATATAGTATTCATATACAATCTGACGCAAAGCGTATATTGTAGTTCAAGGATCAAAAGTCAATATTTGTAAATACAATTATTTTAATGAAGTGCAGGAATGCAGGAAAAGTGAGATGGTAGAGTCTGCTAGAGTTACATATAAATTAATAAGTTGATATAATATAATGTTTAAGTGCTGCCTTGAATTTAACTGTACTGACACTGTGCTTGATTTCATTAGGTAGTTTATTATAATATGATGGTCCAATATATTTAAGTGAGTCCCACCCAAACTTAATGCGGTATTTAGGTTGGACTAAAAGGTGTTTAGATCTTGTGTCATGGCCATGTTGGGAAATTTTAAAATAGTCTTTAAAAATGTATACAGGAAAGCCAGATGGTATGTTTAAGCATCTATATACAAATGTAGCAACATTTAAATGATAAATATCAAAAATTGTCAAAATGTTTTCTCTTTTGAATAAAGGGGCAGTGTGCTCTCTAAAATGTGAATTTGTAATTAATCTAATACATTTCTTTTGAATAAGATGTATTGGTGTAAGTATGTTCTTTTTTACATGACCCCAAATAATATTGCAATAGTTAATTTGAGAAAGGATTAATGAATGATATACTTTAAGCTTAGAGTCATGATCAAGGATGTCTCTTACTTTATAGAGAATTCCTGTTATTCTTGATATCTTATTAGTAATATGCTGAATATGCTTTTTCCAATTTAACTTTTCGTCAATAAATACTCCAAGAAAATTAACACTACTTTCTCTTTTTATTGGCACATTGTCAATATGTATATTTATGTCATGGATTAAATTTCTACCAGGAGTAAAAATTATGAAATTAGTTTTATCTAAGTTAAGAGATAGTTTGTTAGCTTTAAACCATTGATTAATTGTTTGCAGTTCTTTGTTTAATAGTCTAACTAGTTCATCCATATTACGATTAGATATAAGTAAATTAGTATCATCTGCATATAATACAAATTTGATAAGATTTGAGGTTGAAGTAATATCATTAATATACATTAAAAACAAAGTCGGTCCAAGTATAGATCCTTGAGGTACACCACATTTGATAATATCTTGATTTGAATAAGTGTTATTGTAGCAAGTGATCTGTTTCCTGTTTTCTAAGTAGGAAGTGAACCAATTTTTTACATTTCCCCTTAACCCATAAAAATCAATTTTTTCAAGTAGAATTTTGTGATCAACAGTGTCAAATGCCTTAGATAAGTCAAGAAACAGTCCTATGTTAAAGTTATTATCATCGAGAGATGTTCTGAGGTTTTCAAGAAAAGTTAAAATTGCCATATAAGTTGATTTGTTTGGTAAAAAACCAAACTGACTTGAGCTAAGTATTTTCTGTTTTATAATGAAATCTATAAGTCTTTTATGCATGAGTTTCTCTAGCACTTTTGAAAAGATGCTAAGAAGAGAAATAGGCCTGTAGTTAGAGAATAAACTAGGTTTTCCTTTTTTGAAAATTGGTGTAATTTTAGCTGTTTTAAGAATATCTGGGAAAATGCCATTTACAAAAGATAAGTTACACAGGTGACTAAGAAGTGGAGCTAATATATGTTTACAATATTTTAAAGCACAGGCCTTAAACCCATCTAATCCCGGAGCCCCATCCTTAAGGTTAGAAATTATCAAGGACATTTCATCTGGAGTTATAGGGTTTAAAAACATTGAGGTAAGAATGCGACTATTTTCCTTAAGGAACTCATTATGTGAAGTACTACAGGAGATTTTACTTGCAAGCCTAGGACCGATATTTGTAAAATATTTATTAAAATTTTCAGCAATTGATTGATTGTCTCTATAAAAAACGCCATCATTTTCAAAGAAATCAGTTGAAGAAGCTTTGGTGTTTTTTCTTTTTAATATTGAATCAATGACCTTCCATGTATGCTTTAAATTACCCCTGGCATCATCAATTTGTTGATTAAAATGGGTCTTTTCCGAATTGCGTATCACTGTAGTAAGTGTGTTTTTATAAGTTTTATACCTTGTTTTATTTTCTTCTGAAGGATTTTTTAAGAAGGCCTTGTATAATGTACCTTTATGCTTAACAGAAGTAAGGATAGCTGGGGTTAACCATGGTTTATCAGTATTAATTATACATTTTGTTTTAAGTGTTTTAAGTGGAAAAGTGTCATTATATATTCCTTTGAAAATTCCAAGGAAATGCTCAAAAGCAGAATTAGTATCCTCAATTGAACAAGTGTTTGACCAATCAATTAAAGCCATCTTGTTTTTAAAAATGTTCAAATTATCAGAATTTATGACTCTATAAGTATTGGTTTTTTTAACAAGTGTGTGCAATTGCTTATTTGTAGTAAAAAAGATTGGAAATGGTCAGAGATGTCAGAAATAATGATTCCAGATTGTTTAATGTTGTCAATTTTGTTGGTGAATATATTGTCAATTAAAGTCGCTGATGTAGATGTGACTCTAGTTGGTTTAAAAATAAGTGGATTAAGACCATGTGTTGTTATTATGTTTAGAAAACGTTCGGATTGAGTATGATTTTCCAATTTTAAAAGATCAATGTTAAAGTCTCCCATTAAATAAACATCTTTGTTCTCACTGGTTAAGTTGGTCATAAAAACTTCAAGAGAGTTATTAAAATCAATCATGTTAATATTTGGAGGTTTATAGCATACTGAGACGATGATATTTCTAGCATTATCCTGTGGTAATTCAACTGACAAAATATCACAGTTTGGCATAATAAATGATAAATCAGGTCTCTCAATATACATAGAAGAAGCAGAAACATATAAAGCCACGCCCCCTCCTCGAACTTCTCTTGATTTAAAAAGGCCAGTATATCCATTAAATGGATAGAAAGTTTCATCTTGCTTAGAGAACCAAGTTTCACTTAATGCAATAATTTTGAATTTATGTGACATGAGGGCTAATAAATTATCTAACTTCCAGTTATTTTTTTTCATACTTCTCATGTTAAGATGGATACAAGAGAGGTTGGGATCATTTGGCGTGTCAGAATTAATATTTTCCAGTGTCTTATAATTACAGTGCTCAACTAATGATGACACGTTATCATTGGTAGGAATATTATTGAACTTGTCTTCTTCTTGGGGATCAAAAAGCTTATTTTCAATGTCATAAGTTGTCACATCACCAGGAACTGTATCATAGAATAACACAGGGTTAACTGTAAAAAATGGCAGCTGATTAAGCAAATATTCATCATCCATTGTCAAAATATTCAAAATATATATCATGAGACTCTGCAGAACTCTTACCTAAACACTCCTGCTTGTAAAATATGCTCATATTAAAGTTTCAAGATCAGTTGGCTAGGACATTTTAATAAAGATGTCGTACCATTACAAAAAACGAAACAAAAAGTAAATCTCTAGGGGAATCCCCTTATACAGAATCATGAATTTGCTATGTACATGTACTGCTGTACTTTGACTTGTGAAACTTCATAGAGAAAGTATTTCACTGAGAAAAGGAAAACAGTCAAATAAAAATCCATTTGCAAACAAGCAATGCATTCAAGAGTTATCTGAAAGCAATGAATATTATGATACTAATTTGCGTGTGCAGATTAACCTGCATTAGTCATTCACTGAAAAGTTCATGCATCACTTATAAACAACTGGACAAGTATTTGAATGAAGTATTCATATTTTGAATGAAAAATCTACACACGCTGAGTTTGTAGTACTTGGGTTGCATATGCCTCCAAATCCAATAAGCTATGCATAAGTTGAAGAAATCATTGGTTGCATTTCAAAGGATTAATTCTAAATAAGGAAAAAAAAATATGAGCCTATATGTACATGTACTCAAATCATTTCTATCATGTGACATACAGTTTGCACACATGACCAGAAGATTGAACTGGGGACATGTCATTCCTTTCTCAATTCATGAAAATGTAAAAAAGAAAAGCAATGCACTTTGTATTTGTGTTAATAAATGTACACGAGACTATCATTAATAGAAATTAATATATTCACTAATCTCCTGATAAAGTATTAAAATTGTAAATTTGTAGTGAATTTCACTTTCATTGAATCAAATGAAAACATGAAAACAAAACAAAGTAAGAGTCCAGTCAAACTTAACACAGATGTCTATCATTGATAATTATGGATTGTAAAGAATACCATCAATGTAGAGTCTGTCGTAGACCATCCTGGCCCTTTTGTTAGATGCCTTTGCTTCCTTCAGTATAGGATAAAGAGCTTTACGGCGCTCTGCAATTTCGGAGGGGAATTGTTCATAAACACTATAGTTTGTACCTTTCAGACGATGGCAATTTTTGAGAACGATTTCCTTTCCAATGGAGGGACTAAAATGAACAATAACTCCCTGGGGTTTGCCTTGAACTCTACTTCCATGGAGTCTGTGGGTCCTGTTGATGTTGATCTTAGTCATATCTTCTTGGTTGAGTGAGAGATCATTTTGGAAGAAATTATTGAGTTTCTGTCTTAGCTCATTATTGGTTTCATTGGTTTCATCAGGTATGCCCTGTATTATGAGATTGTCTCTCATAGATCTACTCCTCAATTGTAGGATTTCTTCATGTTGGCTCTGTATCTGAACTTGAGTGTCCTGGATCTTTTTCTTCATGTCGGACATTTCCTTGGTCATGTTTACAATTTTCTCATCTTGATCTGAATGTTTCTTAGTGACATCTTCAATCTGGTCATGAGCGTAACTTAAGGATTTTTCTATTTCAGATACTGATGCTTTAAGTTCGTTGACTTGGCTGCTCGTATTATCTGTTTTCATCATGAGACGCCCAAACATTTCGAACATCACCAGTCTCCATGCTGATTCAGACATACTTTCAATATCTGAAGGTGCCAACGACTCTAAGTCAATATCAGTTGAGCCTGCCTTCTCATTTGGGGTTGGGTTTTTCTTTTTAGAGGCCATGTCACTTGATTTTTCAACATGAGTTTCATAAGCCTCATCAATCCATTTTTCAGTATTTTCATTTGGTTTTGTTGGAGTAGGTGGAGTTGTTTGTTGATTTGAACTGTGTTTGCGCCTCCTTTTATTGTTTTTATTAGGCATGGCAGATTGGAATAGTTGAGGAACAACAAAATGACAGGTCCCAAAACAAAATGTCAGTAGAAAGTCAGTCTCACCTCATTTCAACAGCTTGTTGCTATTTATATATCCAATAAGTTCAATAGTAAATTATCCATATGTAATCATTAGGTATTCATAATTGTATATATATCCATATGTTGACATATAACCTCTTGTAAAGTCTAAATAATGTCCTATTAGCTGGAGCTAAAATTATGCAACCAGCATCATGGCCTGACCTTTGACCTTCTTTGACCTTATAAATTAAAATGAAACATTAAACTCAGGTCAGGTTATATGATAAACCGTTTCGAGAATTGATGATTTGAGTTAACTGTATATTTAAATAAATGTAAGTCGGCATGTATTCGACAGTTAATGTAGACACATGATGTATGCATCCACGTGTGACCTAAATATCGATTCATGACTATCATTTTTGGCTTTCAAAAGTTAAGTTGGAAGTTACAGTGGTTGGAGATTAACGAAAACGTCAATCACATCCGAATATCCGAACGACGTCAAGTATTAACAATACCCTTTCTGTGCATCTCGAAGAAGGCAAGGTTCTGTGATCCAGCAATTTGCATTCCGAAAGAAAAAATTCACAAATGTCAACAAATTTCATTGAGTTGGATATTACATTCGAAATCACAACTTTCGAAATGTTTGTTTTAAACAAGAATTGTAAGAACTTAAAACATGTTGTTAGTTTTTCAAACCGCATATCCTCATTTACGTTCTTTGACAAGGATGAATTCATTAGAAAACATGGATTTTCTTGATTATTCTTCAAAACTACCCTTGAACTATAAGTATGTGGGATATTACAGTGTAAATTGACACGCATTTGTTTCCTCCATATCATGAGAAAATAAATGCAGTACCATCTTTCAATATTTGGAAACAAAAAGTTCATTCTGTATGTAAACAAGAAAAAATACATTTATGGTTAATTCATAATGAAAAATGACAAATAACATACATCTTTTTAAGTAGGGGTATACAGGGACATAGTGGAAATTCAGAAATTTAGGCCATATCCCAAAGACTGCTTCACCAATATGTTACAGAACATCAAATTTATCATTTACACGTTTGCTGATAGGTTTATTGAAAATAATTACACAGAGGTTTACTTCAATTGTGGCACCATTCTTAGTTAATACTGATGAACATACGAATATCGAATGTTGACTAAGTTACTTGGCTTGACCGTATATCATATTAAATTTCTCCGTCGCTAAATGTATAGGTTGTGATATGAAAAACATCAAAATAACGAAATAAGTATTATTAGTATGATTAAATATGTGATTTTATATAAACATATGAAATCAAAATTAAAAAGCTAACGTTTCGATCAAGGCATGACAATATTTCGTCATTGGCGTTTTTCTATTTACATTTTGATTCAATTTTCACATTTTCAAATTCCCATGTTGTACCTTATCGTTACTGCGATAAACACAATTAAATGCGAAATAAATGTACAGTATCACGCTATATCTTACAGATTTTGTTCACATCGGATGCTGGAAGGACAACGCAACCAGAACCATGATAGAGCTTGAAGGTACAACAGATGTCCTAGATGGGGCATATTACCAAAGAGAGAACGCCATCAATAAATGCTTTACTGCAGCAAGAAACGAAGGACTTGAATACTTTGCTTTGCAGGATAACGGCAAATGTTTTGGAGCACCATTTGGTGACACGTCTTATGAAATGTATGGAGAAAGTGAAGCCTGCGACTCGAATGGAATGGGAGGCCAATGGGCAAATGATGTTTATAGAATCACATTGGGTAAGTACAGAACCAAACATATTCTCATAAACCAGGGCTGATCATATAATGCTTTGGAAGAGCACTGATACACAGGAGATGTTGATCACGAAGATTGCCGAAGATCGTCCAAGCAACCAATCAAATTCTTTAAAGGGTTATGGTAAGATCTTTGGCCATCTTGCGGTTGTGCTGTTCCGGTCCAAAATCTTTACCCATTTTTTATTTTTCAGAATTTGTTAACATGGGCTGCTGGAAAGACAGTAGTACAAGGACCATGACGCAGCTTGAAGGCCGTGCAGCTATACTTAATGGATTTTATGGCAACAGAGGAGACGCCATTAACAAATGCTTCGTTGCAGCCAGGAATGAAGGGTTTGAATACTTTGGTGTACAGCATAGTGGCCAATGTTTTGGATCAGCATTTGGTGACACTTCTTATAAAAAGTATGGAGAAAAAGATAATTGTGATTTGAATGGAGAGGGAGGCCATTGGGCGAATAATGTCTATAGAATCATATTAGGTAATTAGTGTAAGAAAGTCTAGTTCTTAATGGACATTAGTTTATTACAATGGGATATATATATATATATATCAGATCCTAACATACCAAACAAAAATCCAACGATTCCATATTGTCTAAATCTAAAATAACATGAACTCATGTGAAAGTCACAATCAGACTAGGCCTAGTACTAACCCCACGTAAAATTTCAACTTTGCCATGCCTTCTGTTGAGTCAGTGTATCTAAAAATATAAAAAGAAAGTTTTTCAGAATAATAGTTTGATCCAAATTATTTGTGATCCTGATTTTAATAAACTCATAATATGTACAATGTCATATATTGAATTTTCGCAATGCATTAAAAATATAAAAATAAAGTTTTTCAGCATAATAGTTTGATCCCTGATTTCATTAACTCACAATATGCACATACATTGAATTATCGTAAATTGAAAAAACACTGTTTTGTTGTGCCACTAAATGAAACAATAAAATAATAAAATAATTTTTATGACATTATACTATATCTAGTATCCAAAAAGTTGTATGGTATATAGAATTAGTGTATTATTGAATTGTAGGATATCGACGAGTTGGTGACTGTTTTATGTCACCACACCCTGGCCTGGATTCTGTGGAAGGGACAGATTCAACCCTTGATGGTAATCACACCATGAGGGATGATGCTATTGGGTAATGTATTTCAGTAGTATTCAGATCAATATTTGTGTGCCTTAATATTAAGTATGAATATAGATCGTTATTATATAATATCGTATTTTCTGTCTAGAACTATGGATAGCTATATGTAAATCAGTAAAATTACAGTACAATAAAACAATACAATAACGTCGTACTCTTACCTTCCCACAAATATACGGCCTCTTTAAGAGTATACAATGAAATAAGACATTACGAATAATTGTTGAATCATACCGTCATTTTACAAGCATATATTGATTCTTTGATGTTTTGACTTGTGAAACTAGTGGCCACATAATGCTAAATGGTACGTAGTGCATTATCGATATTGTAATATCAATATTTTTTAAGTGAGTTAAATAATGGAAATCATGTCTGCAGAATGGTAGTTTTCATGCATAACAGTAAACTTTGAGCCGTACATTTTTATTCTAAAATATGCTGATCAGATTATCGAAATGTTGCATACGAAAAATATTTTGTTCACCACCTTGATGCTGATGTTAATGTTGTTAATGGAAACAATGCAATATGTAAGAATTTTGCATATAGGCCAATAAACAGTTTAACCTAGTTACATACATTCGATCATACTTCTAAAGTGACATTAGAGTTTGCTCTGATCAAGAAATGAAGCTGTAACAGGATACTGGACAAAATGGTCCTGGCTCACCAAAATAAATCTTTTAATATTTTGCAATTAGGAAATGTTATACAGTCGCATTGGACAACGGTTACCCATATTTCGGACTAACGGACGGTGGGTTATGCTTGGCTGGGTCCACGTACAACAATTCTGCAACTCCTTTGCCAATAGCTGATTGCGGAGTAGAGGGAGATGGTGGGCCAACATCATTTCTAATCTATGAGATAATAAGCGGTAGTTTATTTTATTGATTGCAAGTTTTTTATGGGTTATGGTGCGTTTGTTAAAATGTTTTAAAATTTTGTTTGTAGGTAAGGTGATCCTTACAAATAGTGAATTTCAGAATTATTAATGAATATTCTTTTCTGCCATAATGCTTTTTGGTCAATTTTGAAATCGAAACTATCAGTTCGATGAACCCGTTCTTAAATAGTTCAAACTTCATATTTCTAACTGTTCCAGGTCCCACATCAACAACAGCTACTACACAATCTGCGACAGTCCGATCAAATATAAGTTCGCCAATGATTTCCACTACAGCATCTACAAATCAGTTGTACAGTGCGACAGTTACTTATAAATACCAACGTCCGAAACCTCGACATTTTGAGCCTTCTGAAGCTAAGCTGGCACCTATGTTAGGTAGCGTTTTAACGTTGATGATGGTGGCATTAATTGTTTTAATTGTCGTTCTTGACTCTGCGCGCCTTTTCCGCGACACTCGTTTTTGTTACTACAACATGAAATATGGAATGAGGCGTTTACAAAACAGGACGCTGCTGGATGATGCTACATCTCAAGAACGAGAAGAAACCACGTAAAGAAATACTAGAATTGTATACTATGTTATTCAGATGGCTAGACAGAAGAGTGAAAGCCAACGCCACCGTTACAGTATTTATGTAGTATACAGGCCCGAAGTCAGTTTAAGCCAAGAGGTTCACTTTAAAAAAATCAGGAGGTTACCTTCTCCGACAATAGCACCCATATTTTCGGTCACATTCAAGTCAGGGCTGTTTTCAGATTACTGAAATGAACTATATTTTTGGTCAAACAAGTTTTGAAATGCTTATTACCATTTGTGAGTTGAACCATCATAATTGGCAAATGCATGTAACTTTAGATGAGCTTTAAAATGATACTATGGAAACAGGGCGGGGGCATACTTTCGGGATACCCTGTATATTCCCAATTTTCAGGACTATATCATACCAGTGGACATTTTCCATAATTAGTGATTTAGACTATAATTAACAATTGGTGTTTTTGTTTTACCACTTTTGTATTGTTTTTGTCTTACAATGTATCATGAACCATGATTTCATAAGTCGTAGATGCAATTTAGTATGTATGTTATTCTTAGAATATAACTTTATTATTTGCACTTAGTATTGTATTGTATATTTAATCAATAGAGTGTTACAATAGTTGAAAAAACATTAAAGTATAATATAAATGCAAACAATTATAATTTAAAACATGTTGAATAAGTGAATAAATGAAATAAGAAATCTTTAGTTAATAGACACCGAATAGTAGTGATCAAGACTATCTTCCCCAAGGTCGATAGCTCAAAACAATAAAAAGAAGTGTCGTTAAACTAAGTGGACAGTAGTGGATTATCTATCTTCACAGGAAAATTCAAGAAGATTCAACTAAAATTGAGAAAGCGATTGAAGAATTCGAGGGTTGTATTTAATTTTTGGTCACTAAATATTTTTGCTGTTGTAAATTATATTAAATATACACAAAAATCGAAATGGCCTATTTCCACCTTATGAATCCATATCTTGCAGTTTTTTTCTGGATCCAATTTATAGTACTTGTTGAAATTGAACTATTATATAGCAAATGGTGATTTTTAACCAAATACCTCGAAATAATTTTGAATCATTGCGAGTAAAATTTCCATTTGTGTTTTTTTCTATTTGGACTATTTTATTATAAAAAATGTTCGTGGTTCATTTTTTCTGCAAACGCTATGAAGTCCAATTTTAACAGTTCAGTGAGTTTGGACAATTTAGATTTTGTTCATTTAAAGATAACCTGACAGACAAGAGTACTGTAGTTTTATGGAAACGACTTGCACTTTCAATGACTCCACGTTACTTTAAGTATATGTTATGAGGTCATATTGACTATCACTGGCACGTTGACTCATTGTCAATTTATCATAGATTAACTATCCAATCGCAATCATCGTAAACATGCTTCGCGGAGCATGTAAACAAATAACAAGCTACTTCCTGGTGTACTAGTGTAACTACCGCAATTCAGAGAATAACTGCCACTGTGGAAGTTGTGACTGTATTGTCAAGCCATATTAACATAATCATTTCATATATTAACTTCAAACGGAGGATGCAAGTACGTTTCAATTAATTGGACTGCCTACAGAACATGGGAATTAACTTGTCTTTTATGTCATGTTTTCATAAACGTGACCTTAAAATATTAATAACAGGTAGGCTATACATATTAGATACTTCAGATAGTTTTATCAAATATCTCGAATATAAGATACAGTAAATTTTCAATATATGCAATGTGTGACGGAACACAAAGCCGCTGATTTTAACTACAATCCCCTGTGCCCCCACTCCGACAAGTATGACAAGTTGTGTAGTCAAGTAGAGGGGAAGGGTCACAGAGGCTTGTAGCTAGACGACTATGATTTCATTGGTTTCCAGAATGGGAAGACTGTCCTTTCAAATTAAAATGCCATGCACTTTAATAGTTTACTCCGATCCTCTTGCAACATTTTATTATTTTACAGGATTGGACGCTGCTGGCAAGACAACCCTACTGTACAGGCTACACACACATCAATTAATCAGTACGATTCCAACTATAGGTAGGATCCTTTTGATAGTTCTATTTAGTCTAATGATAAAATGCAAGCTTATATGATAAGGATTGAATAGATGGCAGTCCATTGCTTCTCTCTATATAAAAATGCTTCTCTCCATTGGGTTGTTTTTACACACCATGCATTGGTCTGTGTGTACATATGTTTCTATTAAAACCTCATCAATTATTTACTTCAAAATAATTTACTTACATGTGAGGTTTTGAATACTTTTATTGAAAGTCTTGAAATTTTTTGGCAATATATGTTAAAGGATTGTAAAGTATACGTAACTCAAAATACAATGTAGCTTGCTAAAAATAATGCCAGTTTTGTGCTTTACATTTTTAGGCTGGAATGTTGAGGACATTGAGTACAGAAGTGTAAGAATGCAAGTAATCGAGACTGGTGGCAGTGAAAAATTAGTAAGCCAAACATTATTTAATTCGTATTTAAGGGGCGGTGTAAAAGAAATGATGGTCCCCTGGGGATTATGGTCCTTACTGACCCTGATCGTGGATACGATAATAAGGGAAAGAGTTGGACATTGCATCTTCGACTTCAAACGTGTTATAACAAGTTTGAGCAACTGAAATCTTGTGGATCAAGATGCATAATTTGTCACAATGAATGAAGCATGATGAACTTGATTGTCAGTGGAAGGGTTCTTGATTTACAGTATTCAATATTATAAGACATTTGGATCTTACGTAGCTACCAGACACTCACGGGATAAAAACAAAATACTGAGCTGTGTCTAATTGGAGTTCTTTGGTATACTGATTTTGATTTGATATGTTTATATGGTTTATGGGCGTTTGTGTTATTTTTTACCTGTTTTACAAATGTTACATTTCCAGAGACCATTAATATGTCACTATTGGCCGGGTGTCGATGCAGTCATATTTGTTGCGGATAGCATTGACAAGGATACATCTAGAATATCTGAATTGAAAGCCTATATAATGCACCATAACGACGCTCAGGAACTTTGGGATAAACCCTTCCTAATTATTGCTAACAAACAGGACCTCCCGAATGCTATGTCAATGGAGGAGATGACAACGAGGTTAGATCTAAACAGATTGCAACCAGGACACAAATGGTGTGAGTTTTGAATTTGTTTTGAAATTCATGGAAACCTTTTCGAAGTAAATAAAAAAAATTACTTGCTGGCTGATTGGCGCCCGGATTAACTGATCCGATATATAAGATTTGACGCTATCACCTTTCTTTTCTTTGAAGAACCTGAGGTCCATTCGAGTGCTAGGGACTTTTAATTTTTTACTCTGAAAAAATGTAAAATGAAAATGTAATTTGCATTTTGCCTGTGTACATCTCTATAAACAGGGGGATGACACTGTTTATGTACTTATCTGCTTTCAGACATTGCTCCAGTATCGTGTGTGACTGGCGAGGGTCTCGGTGCTGCAATGGATTGGTTGCTAATAACGTTAGGACGAATCAAACAATCAGAAACGATCACTCAACCAATAAATAATGCATTTGTGGACATGAATGATACATTTCCCCTAGATGTCGATGATAAGGGACAACAAAAATGGAGATATATATTGAGGGGATGGAATCGCTTGAAAAATGTATTTCCATGAGCGGCTGTAGATATTCACATCAGAAAATAAAAAAAAAATGGAGAAGGCAAAAAGAACATTGAAGAAGACAAAATGAGCTAACGTATTGATCTGAATGAGAATCAGCCTTTCAGCAAAATATGTAATTCAAGATTTTCATACGTTTTTTTCAGGCTATTTAAGGTAAGATTCACCCTTTGCTAAGTGACCGTATCTTATTCGAATGATTGTGGTAAGGACGGCACAATGACCAAAATCAAATGAACATAACACCAAAAATTTTGTAAGTCGTACTATATTATTTTGTTTGGTACTAATACCAAATTTCATGCTATTTCATAAAGTGATAGATATTAGATTATGCATGTCATGTGTTTTCAATGTAATCAAACGCGTAATTGCACCACGCCCGGTGATCGGACAAAATGAACGGAGGGGCGGGGTGGGGGAGCAGACGATATCTGCTAGAAAACTCAACAAATCTGGAAGATTTATCTTTTCTAATTCACTATTGAATTGCTTAATGAATAGGCTCCAGGTATAGTAACGTAACATATGTTAGGACTTAAGGATTCTTTTGAACCGATATGCTTCGAAAATGATATGAGATCACTGCGCCCTTTTTAGTACTAGTAGATCTCATATCTTAGAAGCGTATCGATTCAAAAATTATTCTAACATATTTTACTATACCGTGACCCCATTCACTTAGCAATTCAATACTAAACTTTCTCCTGAAAAATCAAATCTTCCAGATTTGTTGAATTTTTCTTGCAGAAATCGCCCGCTCCCCTCCCTCCGTTCATCTTGTCCAATCACCAGGCGTGAAAATACTAAATACTCTTGTAACCATTTGAAGATTTCCATAACATTCACATTTGGCCCTTTTTCATATAAAATGCCATAGACATTTGAAGATTATCAACGTCCACTTGAAAAGTTATACTCTCCAGATACATCAATTTTAAAATACAAAATGTCTGGATTGTTGAATGAGTTTTAGTAAACAAATAAAATCATAGCATATAAAGACGATATGATTTACTGATGTTTGAATTATGATTTCAACATAGTGTAAAGTAATCTAAATCTTAGTTAAACCTTACTTTTTATGTTGATACATCTCTAATGATGTAACCCTATCCCACATACAGATATATGGATCTACTCATGCATTATAATATTTGCAAGATACATACATGTATTCCATAACAAGTGAAGTTTCAGGTGCTTCAGCGGGATATAGAATTGATACCTTGGAGGAGTGGGACATGTAATATATCTCCCGCTCTAATATTCTCGGGAAATGTTTTGTTCAGTGTAGAAACAGTCAATAGAATATATATAATTGCTATAGCAAAACTGTCCAAATGGATGTAGCAGACAGTATAATTTTTCTTGATCAAAATGTTCAAGGATTTCTCGGAAATAATGGGAATGAGAACACTTTAAAGAAACCTGGATAGTGGGTGTCCTGAAAACTTCTCTCGTGATACCTCACGTGTCATAGGATAAATGACCTATGTGTACACATTACTAGGATAAAATACGACATATAAAAATACATAATTGTCATAAACACCACAGTATAGAGACGTGTCGCAAAAAGGTCGCGCACGCATTGTTACACATTTTCGCTTTTTAACACCACAAAATGTGACGTTTTTTGAGAAAAATGTACACATATGGTAATCCTTTCGTCCTCCACATTTGCCTCTATATCTCAAAATATTTAAGGCGAATAACTCTGATATCGTATATGTATTAACAATGGGATAGGAGCATCATAAAACATGAATCAATTGATATTTTAGGTGAAATAAATATACGTGTTGCTGTGCTTGAAAATAGGCGAATGGCGTACATTAGCCCTATTTTAATGAATTTTGAAAACCTTTCGTCCTCCACTTTTCCACATACAACAGAAAACACATACTTTTGCGAACAAAATCAACTATTTGTTAATAAACTTGAGTTTAAGAGCAAAATAATCATGTATGATTTATTAAAAATTGATCTCGTATTTTTTGTTTAATGTACACCTGAAAAGTTGAAGGTAACAAAAAATGAGCAAAAAACGGTAGCTGTCAACAGATTCTATTTTTCAAACTCTATGACGTCACAATATGGGACGCTTACTAAAATTCATCCTTTGAAATAAAACTTCCATCTTCCTTTATCAAGACGAAAAATAAGTATAATAGTCATATATTGTTTGAGTTATGAGCGTTTAAAGACGAAAAATAATTCAAAATGTAACGTGTCAACTGGGGATATTTGCCAGATGTTTTGGTAAAAAACTCTTTTTTAAAAGAGAACGCGCAAGAATCGTGATCGGAGTATAGTTGATCTAAAAACTTCATCGAAACAGCTTTAAAATGATGTATAACTTTAATTAGAATATTATCTTATAATCCGGGGAATCAAAGTTACATTCACGCGATACCCTTAAAAAACGAATGCGCCACCTTTTTGCGACACGTCAGAAGAAGATTATGATTGATGGATTTACAGATTGTTTTCGATATATAAGCCTATATCTAAAGATTTTAAGCCTGATTTATAAATGTAACATAGCAACAAATTACAATAAGATGATGTAATTATTGACAAATCTAAGCAAATCTAAATCTAAGAGTTCTTTCAACTTGTATCTCAAATACATCCATACATGCCTCTGATATATCTTTACATGTACATTTATCATATATGCCTATCATTTCCAAAGAGCGAGTACAAGTCTTAACATTAATTTTGATAAAAATGTTTTATGTAAAACACTCTCATGAACCAAATGCGGTCCGTGTCAACAAAATCTGTTACAAATCTTTATTTATTCAATAAATGCATCAAACTTTAAAGTGGGTTACAAAGATACGACATTTGATCATTGATATACTTATAATAAAACCTCGTCTTACAATCTGAAAATAACATCAAGACAGCATAAATGCCTATATTACACAAGATGCATCTGGTTGTATCTTTCTCCGCGTGTAATTAAATGTAACCATAAAACAAATAAATGCATTCTGATCATTTTCGGCTGCCTATTGAACAAGGAGTTAAATACATAGTATAATAACCGGTCAATTAAGACAAGAAACACTTAAGCATAACAGCATAACATTATCGGGTTTGTTAGCATTTGACCACTATTTGCCAAACGGCCATTTTGTTGCACCCGATATGAATGCCACTAAATGATTCAAAGACATTCCCGGGTTTTATTTTACACAACTAATTGCACAATATGGAATCGAAGGATGTTTTTGCGCCACATTTGTTTATTTTTTGTATTCTTTTTAATTGACGGGCCACTGACTGAATCTGGTATTTTATTTGTCTCATTGAATTTTCCCATTTATCTTATTCTGGTCTGTCTCATGAAAAGGTGAACTAGACCACATCTCGTAATAAGGTCTGTCTATCAAAATGAATTGGTGTTTTCATTTGTTTAAGCATCTGGATGGCTCGGGACTTTAATAGATTTCACTATCACGTTTTCAAATCACAAATGTCCCATGGTAGTGATTTTGTCAGTGTTAATTTTAGATTTTGAAATCGTTTCGAGTTGTGCTTTAATTATTTTTCCATATGTACAATAAGGTTTCTGTTACTTATGTTAGAGTTAGCAGCAGTTAGCAGAAGACGCTTACGGATCCACCGGGTCTTGCACCATTCATGCATATTGTTTTCAGAAGCTGCAGCGTGAGTTAGGAATGAATTGGGGTAACAGCGCATCAGCGTTTAATTCAACATTAGTTCTGGAATTATCCAGTGACCTAGGGGAAAGTCCCTATGGCGACAGAGAATAGAACTGTGACAGCTTGGAAAGACAGCATTGGGGGTTCTGAAGGCTAGCACCCTTAGGAACCATGCTTTGATCAGATGACCGAAGCACCCACTTTTACAGCTACAGACAACCAAACAAGAGAATACCCTCAGGATGACCCGAGAGGGGGGGGGGGGGGCGGAAGACTCATCCAATAGGCAGAACACAACGGACAAGGACCCACGCAATGACAACGGACGACGAGATTCATGTGAAAGTTGCGGAAGAATCTTCAAAAACTGGCATGGCGTAAGAATACATCAAGGTAGCAGGAGCAGGAGCAGGAAGAAGCAATGAAAGTACCAGTTTTTGAAAGGAAACCAAAACTGAAACTACCAGCAGCATCAAGTTCTGAATGGAAAGACTTGGATGCTGACTTACAGCAGATCCTCAATAATACTTTGAAAGGGGACGTTAAGAGGAAAGTTGAAGCTATGACATCTATTGTGTATGATGTATGTATGGGCAGGTTTGGACTTGAGGAGAAGGGGGATGGAATCCTGAAAGAGAAACGGGCCAAGCAGAAGACAGAAAGAAATAGGTAACATCAGGAAAGACTTGCGAGGTTTGAGGAAAGCTTTCTTAAATGCTGACGTTTCAGAGAAAGAAGGACTCCATCGGTTGAGAGAATCTCTTAGACGCAGGCTGTTACTGCTCAGGAAGGCCGATAACTTGAGAAAAAAGAGGTCTGAAAAGAGGAAAACCAGGAGCAAGTTTTTCAAGAGTCCATTCCAATTCGTAAGTGATATTTTGGGGAAACCGAAATCTGGAAATCTGGAATGTACAAAGGGAGAAATGAACACAAGTGTGCAAGCTGCCCATACTGACCCTAGACGTAAAGAGCCATTGGCCGAGAAGCCCAATTTATCACCTGCTCCATTGCCTGAACATGAGCTTGATACAACACCAATCAAGCCGTCTGAGGTTCAACAAGTTATAAGAAAAGGCAGATCAGGCTCGGCACCTGGTCCAAGTGGGCTTACCTACAAGATATATAAGAACTGTCCACTATTGACCACAAGACTTTGGAGACTCATGCAAGTCCTCTGGATTAAGAAAAACTCCCTGCTCCTTGGCTCATAGCAGAGGGCTGCTTTGTCCCAAAGGAGGAGAACTCCATCTCACTTGACCAATTTAGAGAAATCTCCCTACTTAGTGTTGAAGGCAAGATATTTTGGGCTGTGATTGCCAAACGGTTTACAACCTTTTTCATGGAAAACAAGTATGTTGACACCTCTATCCAGAAAGGAGGAATAACAGGCTTTGCTTGGTGTGTCGAACATACAGCAGCTATATCCAAACTGATTGGGGA